AAACAATACACAAAAGTTACAGTAAAGGTAGTATTTTACGTTTTCCCCCTTCTAAAACACAAATATCCTTTCTGATACCTTAAGTTCCTTTTGGACTGAACACTAATAGCATACTAACAGGCACCACATGATCTTTTTAGCGGCTTTTTTACACCTTTTAATGAGAGACAGGGTGAAAAATAGAAACGGAAACTGAGGGAAGAGAGTGGGGAATAATTTGCAGCATTGTTGAGAACCACAGGTGCAACTATCTATCAATTTATTCAACAAAAATCAACTACAAAATAAGTCGCCAATCAGTTTAGTCATCGATAACATCATCACTTGTGCACTCACATGTCATTTTCTAGAATTAGATCACAGAGGAGTGAGACATCTCTGCATCCTTACGATCATTACTTAGAGTGGCACACACAAAACAGCAACTGGCAAGCAACAGGTAAACAAACCCCAGCATGATAAATTACTGAGGATTGGAACATCTTGTGTCCTACAATCTCTGCTGAGTTAAGAACATGCAAAACAGCGACCAAAACAACAGGTAAACAAAACATAACAACATGGCAGCAGCTAATGCAACACAATTGTATGTTGTAAATTTTTAAGTCGGGGATGTTTGCCCTGAAAGGCTGCAAAGAAAACTGCCTGCAAGATCTTTAAAGCAGAGTTTTCTTTATGGGAGCAAATCAATACTGTATTTGAAGAGATCGTGCTGGAAATTTCTCCATTGAACATAAACTTGAGTTTTAGATTCTCTGTCCTTCACCTTGAAATCTCCATCCTTTTCTCTCATTGCCTTTCTTTCCTCCTCTCCCACCACTAAATGATGTAACCATCTCTTATTATGTGACTACGGTAGCCGTGCTTCACATTACGACTAAATCATTCTTCTTAACATGGATTTGAATTTTTAATGGCATGGTTAGAGAGTAATGGTCAGAAGCAAACCACTAAAAAAGACACAAAGTATATGTGCAATTCATTAACCACTTAAACGATTATTCATTTACAAAATCCATGATCAGTCAACCATCGAAATAGTATTCTGTACCATTATGGTATAAGATATTTAGAGTGTCTCGTATTACTATTGGTTGGTACCAGACTCCATTTCACTATCTGATGTTTTTTCTTTTACCAATATTAATATCAATACCTGTAGAGATCATATTTGATACCAGAGGGTAGAAGCAGCAGCACAATATTGGTCTGATACTGAAACTAGTGTTCTTATCAGTATCAGATATTTGTTTATTCATTTGAGTGCTTGAATGCATTACAGGAAGGAGATTAAATTTAGAGGAGAGGGATAAAGTCCTCCCTAGAGAAATGGATCTGCAAAAAATATCTTTCCCTCCAGTTTTTTGCCCCTTCACTGCTTATCCATCGTCTTCCTCTCTGGTACTTTTACGCCCCGCTCTCCATCCCCACTTCTCGCTGAGTCGTAAATGGCCTCAGCGTTCACCCAGGTGGGGGGAGGGACAGAAGACACCCAACCTTACTTATCAAACACGCATGCACACCACCTATTATAGCTTTCACTTTCTTTAATGTGGGTGAACGCTGCTTTATCTTGGTGCCATGTATAATGGCTCAGAGATGGTATCATCAGAGTCAGGCCAGCTTGACTAAATGGGAGCGGCAAATTGACTGTAGTATTAGGAGAGAAGGGCCTCTATCAGTGGATCTGATAGGATCCCATTAAAGAAGGCTTGCAGATAAATATGATTAGCGTTTCATTCCTCCTAATGGAAACATTGTCTGAAGAGGGGGAGGAGATGAAATGTTTTGTAGCGATAGGGCCTCTGTTCCACTGATGGAATTGTTATTGCCTAATTTGGGTAGAAAGGCCATTAAAGTTGTTGGAGGGGACAATGAATGTGCTCTGTAAGTATACTCTCAGTTATGGCTGCAGACCAGCGGTTCACTGCATGTGGGCAGCACTTTGTTTTGTTGATGTGAAAACCACCCTCCTCTTAAATGGCTTCATATTGGGCTTGTTTTTGTTGAATTTCCTGATTAATGACTATAAGGTCTCGTCTCTTGTCTCATCTCCTTTCTCAAAATGAACTGAATGGCTATTGTGTGAGTCTGTTTTTGCGTGCATGCGTGCACGCCTGCATCTCCGACGGACTGTGACAGAAGTGCTTCATTAGATTATAAAAACGACCATCACAAACACAAGCAGATTATTGTTCATTTATGGAGAGCCTCTGGGGTACTGTTTGCCAAGTCTCCCAAATAACAACCAGCTCTCTTCCATGATCTGTCAAAATGAATGAAGCGGATGTCTGCTATTTAGAAGCATGATTCTGGAGATCTGCAGGTCCTGAGTGACTTTTAGAGTACTGTTGGGAACACTGAGGATGTTGTAGTAAATGTAAATGAATAAATCTCTTTTTTTTTCTTTATTCTAGCTCAACATATTCAGATGTGTGTGTTTGCATGCGTGTGTGTTGGGGTTTTTGCATATGCATACGTGCCTGGCAACAGTAACAGGTTGATTGATTGACTAGCTCCTGCACTGCCAACTCTACTGGGACTCATTATATACATTATAGATGTATCAGAGGACTGGTGCCAAATGCTGCTTCTCCTCTGTGGCAGAAGTTTCTACTGTAGAATGTATTTCTCTATACAGCAATAGCTTAGATTGTTATTTATCCAAAGATGTGGATTTCCAGGACAAAAAAAAATGGCCAAAAAGACTTTTTTTTTTTTTTATGTAGGTTCCTTATTTTCCAAGTACTTTGTACAGGCTGTCAAATTAAACTCTCTTAAACTAATGCTGTTCAGTACAACCACACAACCTCAGCCTCGGGAGGGCTATAATGAGTATTTTGGAGAGTATTTTGTTATTTTCCCTTTTTCCAAGGTTTGTTGTCTCTAGTACCAGGATATTTTCTTGTATTTCATAAAAAGCAGTGTGTTATTGACTTGTAATGCAGAGGGAGACTGTGAATTTTCAATTTATTAAGATTCTCTGTCTACAGAAGTACCTGAATTACATTTTTGATGATTATTTTTTGTCCGCTATAATCATAAGGTAAAAATCGGATATCATCACAGCCCTAGCTTCAACATGCTAGCTGTATGGACGTATTTTGGAGCTGCATTGACAGACAAATGACCCATTCAGAACAGGGGATGAATTAAAAAAGCCGATTGCAGTGAAATCCTGTCAGCAGCCTCTACAGCCATTAAAAAAAAACGAACAAGAAATATAGTCGGGACTGTCTTCTTCTATTTTGTGTTTTTCTGATTTAGCTTGAATCGTTAGCTTAACACTGCCTCAACAATTCTTAGTGTTCCTGCAAGATTTGGTCTGTAACTAAGAGCTTCCAAAAAGGCTTTAGAAATATGGACAAAATGAAATCAGAGTACAGGGATAAGGCTTCGACTGTATCCACAAGTAAACAGCAATAACATGGTTGATACCTTATAACAGCTGAAGTCCTGCATTTAAAGATGATTTAATTGGTAGCCAAAGCAAAAAAATGTAAGGCTACCAGTGTCTTCATTATTATTTATGGAAATAGGCTCTGTTAGTGTTTAATGGTTATTTGTAGTGTTTCTAAGCTCTTATAGGGGTTTATTAACATGTAAACACCATCAAACGTAATGGCTGACTGTTATTGTAAATTTAATATACACATGGGTGTTTTTAATGTACTGTGTCACAATATATGACCATTTACATGTTATTTTATGTGCTATATAAAAGATTTTAAAATAGTCGCCAGAAGTGTAACATGTCACTTTGCTTCTAAATCGAACCTTAATAGGCAAACCCTTTTGAAAATGACCTATCTGTGAAATATTCAGACTACACCTCAGTGAAACCAGCATAACTCTGTAATTTTTACAGTCTCTGACCCGTCGCATTGCGTTTTGGCTGAGCATGACAAGACACTGAAGAGACATATTCCCTTGCACCGTTTTGTCGCTGTCTTTCCGGCTTTGCTTCTGCTGCAGTTTTTACCTTCCAGCATTTCAGCATCAACCTGACTGCACATTCGCAAACGATATGTTCACACTCAAGTGTGTCCATGAATCATAATCTCAATTGCCTGTCCAAAAGAATCTGTCCTGTTTGTGTTTTGTATACAGTTTCAGACGGGCTTATTTTGCTGGGATTTATATAGTGGAGGCACAAAAGTTAACTTGGATCAGCTGCAGGCTTATACAGCTCTCAGCAAAGGAACAAAGATTTGTGCTTGTAATGCCCATATACTAATATAGCAGTTTAAACATGTTAATGCGCAGTCTTTGGTGGTTAAAGGCTGTTGTTTAGGGTTTATTTGTAGTCTGACTCAGATCCAGTTGAAATAAATTCAGCAGAACTTCTTGTTTAGCTGCAAAACAAGAACAAATTACCTGCACTTTTTACCCATGAATAAGAAATGAACACCGTTCGAAATAAAGGTTGCATTTTCCAACTAAACTCCTGCTCTTTCAGCTTTTGAATCTCTTCTTTTCTTTCCACTGTTGATTCCCTTGTAGAGTTTCTTCCTTCGGGAAGGAAATGAGGGTTATTTAATATAGTTATTGTAATTGTGTTGTCTGTCTTTGAACTCAAGATGAGATTGCTTTTGACTTGCAAATATTTCAGATTGAATTGGGCCGAATGACTTTTTGTAAAATGTCCCTGGCATTCATGTGTCGTCCTCTTGCTTTTCTCTAAAGGTTAATAGTATCTGCTGTCAGGGGATGAGTCTGTGGATGTTGCCGTGCAGTTCAATGACAGAGGAGGTTTGGTGGAGACCTCGCTCTTTTCCTCTTGGGATGGGGGAGAGTCAGCAGGTCGAACTCTTTTCAGTTTGGGTTTAGAGAGGCCTTGAAAAGAAAAATAGAAGCCTTGCACAAGAGAAATGAATCAGCATCAAGTTAAACTAGTTGACAGAGTGCGTGCATGTGTGTGAGTCTACCTGCATGACTGCAAGCTTGAGACAGTTTATATTAAAAGACACTTTTACTAAATTTCCTCCTTCTTTCCTCCTTTTGCAGATATGGAGATATGGTTCCCAAGACAATTGCGGGGAAAATCTTTGGCTCGATCTGCTCTCTGAGTGGGGTGCTGGTAATCGCCCTGCCTGTCCCTGTCATCGTGTCCAACTTTAGCCGCATCTATCACCAGAACCAGAGAGCAGACAAGCGGCGGGCGCAGAAGGTTCAGGTAAGCACAGATTTATTTCCCTTCAACTGGGCCCCTGATGGGTTGGACCCCTAGAGCTACAGTCCTATAGAAAGTTCCGACGTCTACACAGGTGTCAGGTCTCCCCCAGGAAAACTGACAGTTTTGTTTAATGCACATTGACTTCACATTCATATTAACAGCAGGTGTATGATACATCACTCCTGGTATGAATACCTAAACTTGCTCTGCTTAAATGGATTGAGATTTGGGGAATTTTTTTTCATGTTACTCAGGGTCAGATTATAATTAGATCATTTTTTAAATGCAGCTTAAGGTGTTGGTTTTCTTGGCAAATCTTAATTCTCTGGTTTTGAAGATCTTGAGAAAGGCAGCTATAAATGTTTTCACTATAGAGCCCCATACAATCATACTTTTGTACCAATATTCTCAATCTCTACTGATAAAAGATGTTGACAACCACACGGTTCCTTCTACACAACTTGAGATAGAAGAGGATAAATGAACAGCGAGACCCAGTACATCACTGGGGATATCAAAAGAGCATCTTCTTCCACCGGTGTTTCGTTAAGTTAAGCCCAACTCGGGGTGTCTTAACAGTAAGATCTGGCTTCCTAACCCCCTCAATGCCAGCTCCCACCAGCAATCATATCCACAAGCAGGAAGTCATCTTTATACAACACAATCCATCTTCAACAGCCCCTAGTGTTGCAAGCTCAACAACACTGAAAGGGCTGAAATGGAAAAAGGAGTTTGTTAAGAAAAGGACAGGTTCGGCTGGAGCTCAGCCCTGCTGGGTTAGACTGTAAACTCGACCTCCACCTACTCTAATGAGGGATGAGAGAAGAGAGAGTATTATTATTCAGATTAATGTTTTCTGCTTGATCCCAAAAGCACAACAGCAGTAGTCATTGAAGACTAATAGAGCCTAACATTTTAAAAAAATGGTTTCGAATTGTTTGTTCTGGGAAATATTGATAGATGTTTTGTTAATTGCACTTTTAATTAATTTGTTTGTCATTGTAGTTAATATGATCATTAATAAACATTTAATGGAGAAAAATATCAATTTGACGATTGAGCATAATATTTTATCCAGCATGTTTTGAGCTTGCCTTAACTGAACTACATTTGCTTGCTTGACTTTTTAAAAAATATATTTTATCACTTTATAAAATATGAAACTCTCCTGGAGCAAAGTATATCTTCAACTCAACAACCTAAATGTTATCATTACCCGAGTCTTATCCAAAAGCCCAGGTCTAAATCCTGAAATTGCCTGCTAGAAAAAGGGAACAACAGCAACTTCCCCTCTATGCATGATTGTCTTGGTTGATGTCCTTGTGAGGAGATGTTATCCCCGTTGGTATTAAAATAAAAACACACCCAAGCACAAATTTCCAAATGGATTATGTAAACTCAATTTTAAACTGCGGAGGATTTAAAGATCCTATCTTCTTTTGGGTAAATAGCCTGGCCTTTAGACCTTTAAAGAATTATGCCGCGGTGTGTCCATATGCCAAAGTGGGTGTTTGTATAAGCATCAGCCTCTGCACGCGAACACGCACACACAGAAATGGGCTGGTAATCATGGTTTTAGGGGAGGATGACACTTTTTGTTCTCCTGAGATAGATAATGGCGTGTTTGCTCGGAGCTGGCTGATGTGAACACATTGGCACATATTTCCAGAGCCCCTTTCACTCCCCTCCCAACTCCTAACAAGGCATTTTTTCTACTTTTTGCTCTTTTCTTCTCTCTCCTCTTTCCACTCATCCCCTCTGTGATTACTCCCATCCATCTCAGACCATGGTCTCTGGTTGTAGTTTAAATCTGTTTAAAGCCCCGCTGTTCGACCGTGGTCTGACCGCCGCCCCAGTCTTAACTAACTGTAACCTTGTCTGCTAGATGAGACTCTGGCGCAGCGCAGCCAAGTGTTGAGGGAGGAAATAAAAAGACACACAAAGGGGACAGAGGAGGGTTGAGAGGTTAGGAGAATTATCTAGATTGAAAACAGGATGGATCCAATGAGATGCATTGTGTTGCCGCAGAACCGAGGAGAAGAGAAGGGTGGTGACGAGAAAGGCCAGAGGAAGGAGGCAGCAGGGGAAGTATAAGGGGTAAAGCTGGAGGCAAAGTGTGTCCTAATGCTGCGCTCTTTCCTGAAATAGCTATCACCCAGATGAGATGCAGGCTGCAAGGAAGGTGTGCATCTGTCTGTTTGCTCGTGTATGTGTGTACATCTAAGTGCATGAATACACATAGACATCTGTGTGTGTTTCCACCGGACTTCCTGTCACTTCAGGCCTGCCCTTGGTCCTTCCAGTGTGTTCCCTGCTGATCCGCAGTGTGGTGCAGTGTCCCAAACAATGCCCAGTACCAGACACCCACACTTCGAGAAGCACCCACACACTGATCAGTGTACCATGACGGTGCTGTCGTCATTAACCAGCACAAAATGACTCCCTCAGGCCCCTGAATGCCTCGCTGCCTTGCCTGCAGTGAGGTCAGAAATTTGCTGAAGCACCCATACATCCACCAGAGAGGTTTTCTCTATTTCATAACAGCATGACTCAAATATCTTATCATGGCCTTTTATGATAATATCATACCCGGATGCTGTGATGCCTGGGAAGATTTATAACTTCACTAAATCAGTTCTCAAGTGCCAGGTATGATGATAGGGTTTGCAAATGTGATATTTTACAGCAGTTAAATGACGCAGTCTGTGTACCATCTCTGTCTTTAATTAGCTCACAGGAGTAAGTGTTGCCTAGCATCTCAGCTTGCATGTGTATGACTAACAGAGTATATCTTGAGTCGCATATTGTTCAAGCTCTAATTGCAGAATATGTTCCCTCTGCCTCTATTTTTAAACACGCTAAAGCAGCAAAGCATGATGGATGCTAAGATCAGTCTGCCAACCACTCCTATGATCCACACTGAACTGTCTTTCACAGTAACTTTTCACAGTTTTGCTTTTATAGCTATGACTTGTGGTTTAAAGGGATATTCTGGCGTAAAATTAATTTAGGGTCAAACACACCGTAACACCGAGTTCGACACCCCCTCGAGAGATGAATGTTGCCGACCACTTGCTTCTCTGGTTATACCAACTTAAGTAACGACCACACGATACACAGTGGTCTGAGGAGCCACACACAGACCTAAACCAAAATGCTTGTTAGTAGCGAGACCTCGGGTCAGTCCATTACGGACTACAGCGGGGTGACCCAGCTCATGGAAGAACATTTATGATCATTTCACCATGAAAGTGCAATCAGAACGAGATGCGAAGGCAGAAGAAGTACGCGTCTGCAGAGCAAAATGATTAATATGATGATTATTACTTCAAGGAAATTATAAAGAAATGATCATAAATGTACTTCCTTGAGCTATGTCACCCCGTAGCAGTCCGTAACGGACTGGCCCGAGGTCTCGCTACAAACAAGCGGCTGCTGGAAGAGAGTAGGTGAGTTGTGTTTCGTCTCTTTGCTTAAGAAATTAGGCAAAGTTTAAAAGATGTTTGGTGGCTAGTGCTGTGGCTGTGACCCTTTATGTACTGCCGATGAAGTTAGGTGCTGTTCTGAGCATTATTTGTGTACTATAGAGTGGCGTTCTGGTTGAGGTTTGTTTATGGCTCCTCTGACTGCTGTGTATTGCTATCGTGCAGTCGTTACTAAAGTTGGCATAACTAGAGAAGCAAGCGGTCGGCAACGATCATCTCTCGGGGGGGTGTCTAACTCAGTGTTACGGTGTGTTTGACCCTAAATTAGTTTCACGCCGGAATATCCCTTTAAGATAGCAGCTTACAACACGTCAGCTACCAGCTCTGCTGCTGTTGCTTGGATTCTCTTATAGTAGGTCCTCAAGCTGCTCTCACGTCTGCTCTTGGCTTTGGCACTCAAGACCTGCACAAGCTAATAACTATCATTTTTGTGATTGTGTCAACAGGTTAATCATGTTCTGACACCGACCATATCTTTACCTCTCATCACTGCTGAATCTCAGTGTATCTTCACAGAGGGAGTCGGCTTCACTGTAAACTCTTGACTCGTGTAATTTGCACCAACTGGAAGTGGATTTTACTGCCTTTTCTAACAACTGCTGCTGACATGTGTTCAGCTCATTACATGTTATGTCACATTAATTTAATGCTCTTTGACTTTAGGTTGGCAGTGTTTCACACTTTAAAGATCAGTGGAGAGGGTGTATGATCAAGCCATTACCATTGTGGGGTCCACTCTTTCACTGCTAATGACAACTGTGATCTTTAATAGCTCCCTCGAGCTATGAATTGCTCAGGCATGCCATATTCTTCAATCCTCCCATTACTACTGTCGACATTACATGTAGTGTTCTTTAATGCTCCACAACCTTAATGACATGTGACCTTCTTAGACAGAGGGCCAGTCATTTAGCAAGTGTCACTGGTCATTTAGCATAGCAAAACGTCATTTGCTCAGCATTTATGACCTGCTGGTCGTTTAAGTTCACAGAGTACCCATTCGTACCGGAATCTTAGAATAAGGCTTTATGTTTAAGTGAGAGTAAAATTAGGTATTGAGCCAAGATTGGCTTTCACAGTGCTTAAACAACAAGAGGAGAGCAGACGGGAGAAGTAGAGGCTGGTTATCGAGGAGAGAAAGTGCAGCATTCGTCAATCAGCATTTTCCATCCACCTTTCCCTGCTTCCTTCCTCCCTCTTTATGCTCTCCCCTTTTCTGCCCTCCCCCATTCCCATCCATCTTCATTGTGGCCTAATTGTTAGCTGTTCTGGGCTCCCATTACAATTAGCCATCCATCTGGGTGGTGGGAGAGACACAGGCTCCTGATCTATCTCACCACACACAAAAATGATGCCACTAGTTGCATACCGTATATCGTCTACTCTTTCTTCTTCTCGTCTTCAGCGTCACTCCTTTTTCTTCTACAGTGAATGGAACACTGAGTTTGAATCCTT